TTTACTCACCCAAGGTGTGGTGATGATGCATTTTTTTTGGCAACAAATCCAGAAAATTAGGATGAATTGGAATGAGCAGAGGAAAGGGAGTCCATTTTATGAAATCTGGGTCTGCTGAGCAAGCCACTGAGAAATCTTAGATGGCTCAAATTGTCTAGCTTTGCAGCTCAGTATTTTGACTTGAAGAAATGTCAGACAGTTGCTGGTGTTTGGATGGGGACCTGGCTCAAGGATCTAATGCTGCATGTGGCTAATGCTTTCCTGGGGCTTGCCAAACTCAGTGGTCTTACCTTGGTGGCTTGTGAGTTTTCTCCATAATGGGCTAATTTGGATTTTTGTCTTGGGAAGGAAAGACTTCTTTTTCTGCCCCACTAAAACCTGTTCATGTTGTTTTAATGTGGCCATACCTTGGAGTCGTGCCTGTGATGTGATGGTGAAGGCAGCATAAAAGGACAGGGGAAGAGATGTTCAAGTGGCTTGCCAGTTATTAATAAAAAATACCAAGAGTTGTTCAGGATTACTGGTGCTATTTTTAAAGGAAGAAGCTGAGGCTTAGTGATCTATCAGCTGGATTTTTCAAAGTGATTCAGCATTGGCATGATTGTTCTATTTAAAATCCAGGTAGACCAACAATTTCTTTTTTTTTTGAAAGCACTTGTTTGTGACCTGTCACACAAGTTCTGCTAAATGTTATGGCACAATCCTCTAAGCAATTAACTGTGAATCTTTGTAGTCTCTGTTAGGACTCAAGCACCTCTCAGGCTGAGTGTAGATGAAGTTACCCCCTTAATTACCTGGTGACATGAGGTGACTTCCTGATATTCTGAGAATTTATTCAGATTCAAATTGGCTCCAGATTTCCCTGTAAAGGTCCTGGGCTACGTGCCTTGCCATATTTATGCCAAAGGAACTACTGGCTAATTAGCTGACACAGGCTGATGCTGGTATTCCTCATGCCTGTGGTCTGATGGGATTAGGAAAGAAAAAGCTCCTTGAATAATGTCTGAAGTGCTGAAGGAACCTGGAAAGGTCAGGTGACTTCAGACTGTTCTTCCAAAGGCAGAGTTGCTGCTGGATGCTCAAATCTCCAGGGTGCAGAGAGAGGCAGAGACAGGGGTCATGAGATACTGCTCTTTGAGATGAAGTTTGGATTTGAAATCCTGTCGCAACAAAACTGAAGGCAGTGTTGAGAGCAGCTGGCCCAATACTGATGATTTTTGGATGGCAAAACTGTCAAATTGCTTCAGGTTAGTGAGTAGGAGGAGTGAGATTTTATCTCTCCAAAATGTATGAAAGGCATGTGGGATCATTTTAATCACATTTCTCAATAGCCTTTTGAAGACAGAAAAAATACATCCTCCTTCATACATGTCATAATCAGAACTGTGATTAAGAAAAAATAGCCCCTCTGCTGTGATTAGCTGGTGTAATCTCTCTCCCCAGAGTGAATTTAAACTCAGATTCAGACTTGTAAATGGAGGATAAAAAAATTTCAGACTTTTTTTCTCTAACCTGTGTCCTCTTCTCTAAGAATGTTTTCTCAGGAAGTCCTTTTTTGTCCTTATGGGATGCAAACCATCAAGGATGTTGTAGAGTGTTGGACAGGTTTACTGAAGGTGTTGTATATACAAATGTGAAAGTAAATGCCAACGTAGTAATGTGAAAGTTACATATATAAACATATATGTATGTGTATATATATATTTTTTTTTTTTTAATATGCCAGACAGTTGCTTTAAATCAGTGGCAGGCCAAAAAAGTATCTAGCTAAGGCTGAATTTTTTCTGAAATTGAAATCTGATGCCACGAGGAAGGAAGTGACACCTTCCATCCATGGTAAATCTTGCGTGTGGAGATTATTGATTTTAGATCCATTGTGTAACTGGAATTTGACTTGGACTGCTTGTTCTCCTGTTTGATTGGCAGGATGATGTCTGTGTAGGTTTTGTAGCTTATGGATTCACTGAGGGGAAAAAAAAAAAAAAAGAAAAAGGAAAACAAACTGAAAGACTAGAGCCAGGGAAAATCTCCAACTATAGATCTGACACTATTTCTTTTTTAAGAAATATTAAATTGTTCATTTGCTTTATTTGTTAGTTTTGAATATTTCTTTTCTAATGTGACCTGTGGCTGTCATTTTGTAACACCTCTAGCATGTTTTTGGATATATACCCTTCTTATTATGTTCAAGGTGTTTAAATGATGACCAACTCCCACTGTCATCCCTAAGGTGGTACAGGGATTCTTTCCTTTTGCAATACTAGGAGATCCCCCATTAGTCATACATTTCTGTAGTCCTGGATTATCAGAAGGTGACTAAGTGGTATATAAGTAACTGTGGGATATCAGATGCAGCTGCTGTTGCTACCTGCAACCTATTGCACTTAGATACACAATTATCTGAATATCATGTTGGGGAAACTAGTGCTTACAACAGGCCAGTTTAGATAAATTTTGCCTCAGATCAGCAAGATATTTATGCTTGCTCCACTTTGCCTTAATTAGGACACAGGCACAAAATTATGTGCATAGAAATGCACACTACAAAGTAGATGGAGAGCAGAGGAAAATTATATCTCCCCCTTTACCATCCTTGTTGTTGCTTTAAAGAGCCTGTTGTGTGTTCCCTCATCAGTAACACAGTCTCTCTAGTCTTTAAAAAGTAAAGTAAAAGTAGAATGTATATGAAAATCCATACTGTTTTTAAATCATTTACCCTGGAAATATGATTGCTAAAAAGAGCCAGTATACGTCTCTTTAGTCTTTGGGTAACTTCACCCATTAATTTACTTACTATGTGCTTGATAGTTGCCTTTGAAATTCTCCTTGAATTGTGGAAGAACTAAGGAAAAAGGCAAAAACCCAACATGATACTTAAGTTTTGAAGTAGTAATATATTCAAAATCATAATTCAATGAGGGACCTATTTCTAGCTCTAAAACACCAGTGGGACAACCTACAAAATCATTATGCTTTTTGAAGGAAATTGTGTAGTCCTTACAGTCACTTGTGAATAGGCCATCAACAGTGAAAATTTTCTTGGTGATGACAAGGGTACTTAGAAAGCCTTCTTGTGTGGCTTGGACAAGCAGTAATTAAGAAAAGACATCAGGTGGTCATGAGCAAGAGAGGAAGGACTATTTAGGAACTTGTTTTGGGTATAGCAGTGACGATGTATTGAGAAAGGGAAAACAATCTGAACATCAGGAAACCATTCAGCAGGTAAGATGCACTGACTCTGGAATAGTGTTCTAAATTGTGAAGTGGTGTCTTGCTTGCATATCCTAAAAGGAGTGTGTAGAAGAGAACATAATGTTGGGGAGTCTTATATTGGCTGTGAAAGAGCTGGGATGCTATAAATGTATATATATCTACAGGGACAATTTGAGGAAGTTGAACTGGATAACCCTCCCTCTTTCCTTTGGTAGAGAATGTTTTAAAGACATTTTTAATGAAAACATATTCTCACTTTAAATTTTAATACTAGAATTAGGTAATTCTCAGTTGTCACTGCTCCACTTAAGTTTGTTCATAAGTCTTCAACATTGATATAAAGACAGAAGTTGAGGTAGATGTTTTGTCTTTGGAGCAGAGATGCACAGGTCCATTGGAAATATCTTTTGGTCATTCTTTCAAGAAGCATTTCAGATGCTGCAGTTTCATATTTATAAGCCACTTTCATTTGATCCTATATCTGTGGAGCAAGCAGGAGGCTATTAAATGCTTTAGATGGAAACCACCAGATAGAGTGACTGAGCATTTTAGATAAGACCTTCTGAACAGTCATCACAACTGCATTGTGCAGCCATCAACACAGAAGGAAGTGACTTGTGTGTAAAAAGAGGATTTTACTCTAATGATGTTTCTTGGACAACACCACCATTCTTCCTCTGTGCAGAACTGTTTTAATACTGTCCTCCATGGCCCAGAGGAGCACACTTAGGTGGCATCCACCACAGTTTCCAAGGCTGCTTTCTTTTCCTGCACGAAGCAAATTATTCATCAGTATGAATGAAATGGATTTTGAAACAATCACTTGGATCTCATGATGCAAGAGTGAGTCCTTGCTGCCTCCTGTCATCAAGCAGAGAGGCCAGAAGGAGGCTTGGCAGAGCTGGAGTCTCATCTTACATGCTCCAAAATCTTACCAACCTGCACGTATACACTAATTTAGGGCTATTATTACACACTGGTCTTACACGAGTGCCCTTTGAAGTGAGCTCTGAGCATGGGTGAACTGCTGGGCTCCCTGGGCCCACGCACGAGAGCAGAACCCTCCCTCTTGCCTCACTCTTCCGCCCCCAAGTTTCACCTCCTGACTCTGGCTCCTCCTTTCCCTCTTGTTGTCATTAAAATCAAACTGCAAGGTTTCTGGCCAGGGGTTCACTTTTTTTCTAGATATACGCTAAATATCCAGGCAAAGAATACTGAGCACATGATGAGGTCACTGAGTGTAGCACAGAAATGCCCAGAGCAGGTTCAGGGGAGCATGGGTCCTGCAATCATTTAGTTGTGGCACCAAAATGGGGTCACTTACCTTGCTGAAATGTGTGTTGCTATGGGAAGACTGCTACAGGTGTTTGAGTTCATGGTTTGGAAAGAAGCTGTTGAGATCTCTGCAGTGTGATGGTGGCAGTGTAGAGATTCTCTGAGAGCTGTGATTTAATTAATCACTTTGCTTTGCTTGGGGGTTAGAGTTGTTGAATAAATGTAGAATTTATTAGCAGTGGTGTTTTCAAGAAAACAATCCATGGGTGGAAAGGGGCTTCAGAGTTTCTCCCAAACATCACAGAAGGCACAAAAGGAATTGCTCTTTGTTCTGCTGACTCAGTTCAGGTGCTCTAATAGGCTGCAGGAAGCAGGGAGGGGACTGCCTAATGGCTGGAATTAATGAAGGGGTGGGGCTGGAGAGCCTGGTCATAAAATCCCTATTCCTCCACCCCTAATCTGCATGAGGAGTTTCTGCCAGCTGTAGGACTCGGAATCCTTTTACATTGGACTTATATGCAACTGTGCCTGAAATGGGATCAAATTTAAGTTCAAATGAGGTAAGCAAAAGAAGCTAGTAGCAAGCATAAAGTGGGTAAAATTGTCTGGTGTTCCAGTGAAGCTGATCACTGAGAACAAGCTTCTTTGTGTATGGGAAGTCCATGGAGAGCAAGTTTGTTGTTCCTCAGATCTCGTGGTTGCAAAGGTGGTTTTCCTAGTCTACAGAACCTCCTGGCATGTCTGTATTTTCAAGCAATGTTTTAGAGCTGGCAATGTTACTTACTGTGCTTCCTGAAACAAAAGCTTTGTGTCAAGTAAATAAGGAGCTGGCACAGGCTTGTGACGGGTTTGGTGGTTGGTAAAGCACCTAATGAGCATAGCTTTAAGTATGGCTTTGAATATGAGACTTTTAAATCTACACCTGATATAAGAGTTGAATGTGTGGCTTAGTTTTCTTAACTTTGCCTTGTGTTGTTTTTCCTAGACTTTTACGGGCACCTCAGCACCACCGGTGAGTACGGTAGGTAGTAATTAGCTGGCCCTTCATTAAATGTTGTCCAGTGCTGAATGTAGATCACCAGGAAAAATGTTAGGAATTTGGTGGCTTCAGGGGAAAATACTGCAGTATTTACTGAGCACTGGAGAGCTGAGCTGCGACTTGTCTGTAGATGAAATATTGTCTTTGCTTTTAGTAAACTCTAAAATAGTCTGGCCTCTGGTGCCCGATGCTTATGATGCTGTGAGTAGGTGTTGCACTGTATCTAGGCTGGCTTGTACTTCACCTATGTTAACTTTTAAAATTCCTTTTTTCATGTTTTGATTTCTTTGGATGGAACACTTACTTGTCTTATACATTGTTCCTTCATAAGAAGACTCTATTTAAATGGGTCTTTCTGTTGTTCTCAGTGCTCTGGTATTACTTGTAGTCATTCTTTGGGCTGAAATGATCTGTAGTAGAGCTTGCAATTCCCTGTGTAATGTTGTTTTGTTGTTGTTTAATGTCAGAACATGTAAAACTGTGGAATAAATGTGTTGTGTTCAGCCTCCCTACAAGCCCAATCTCATTCGTCGGGTGGGAGCGGGGGCAGTGCCCAGACTTCTCTGAATGTGAAAAGAGAGCAACAAGGTGCTTTGTAAAGGGTGAACTGAGGAGGAATTCTTTGCATAGACAAATGAAAACACCTTGGGCAATTAGCAGATGTTCGTGTTAACATGTATTAGCATAAAGGAAAATATATCAAGATAAGCTGCCACGAGCCAGTGAATGGGAACGGCAGTGGCAACAGGATGGGGCCGTCTTCATACACTTGCAGTGGGTGTGCAGCTGCCACTGTTAGGGATCTGTAGTCATCAAGGTGTGTTCTTGCCTCTCCTTTAGTGATGTGGGAATTCACCAGCCTGGTTTGTTTTGGTCTTTGATTCCATGTGGAGAATTACAGTTATACAGAGATTGTCCCAAGTGGTGGGTGATAGTTGGCCTCGGTGATCTTAGAGGTCTTTTCCAGCCTTAATGATTCTATGGTGAATCTGGTTTTCCTCGTGAAAGTTTGCTGTTATCAATAGTATCCGATTCCTGATTGTCCCCAAGAGCCACTTACCTTTTCTGTTCACAGTGAAATACTGTGATGAAGCAAAGACATTGCAGAGTTCCTTCAAAAAGTAGCTTTTAAAATCATGTTTAGGCTTCTGTGTAGTCTTGCAGGCTAAAGAAGTATGCTAAGATCATAAAAATTGATACTTTGTACTGTAAACTGTGTTTAGAGGATCAAGCTGTTGTATTTTTTAAACCTTAGTGCTTTTTACATTGTCAGTAGGTTTCCAGGTGTGAGACCTGTACAGTTCAGTGGCTTTGGATTGTGCCTCTTGTCTTTAGAGTATTTAAGGGTGATAGAACTGACCTAAGTCACTTACAATTTAGAGTAGGACCCAGAGCCCCTTCATTCTGCCGTGACAATTTGAGCTTCACAAAGGCAAAAATCATGAGGGACAGGAGATCTTTTTGTAATTTATTTTATTTTTTCTTCTGGGGAAGATGGTATTTATTACGATAAATATATGATCAAAGTGTATCTGAGCTGTTTTTTTTTTTTTTTGCCACTCAATGGCTCGGTTAAGGAAATTAGCTTTTATTAAAAATCATGCAGGACAGGAGAACCTTTTTTAAATTTATTTTATTTTTTCTTCCAGGGAAGTTGGTATTTATTACAAAAAATATATGATCATAGTGTATCTGAGCTGTCTTTTTGTCACTCAATGGCTCAGTTAAGGAAATTAGCTTTTATTATCTGAGTTGATTTCGGGACAACCTGTGGGATTTGTGTGCTTTATACCTGAGTGGTCATTTAAAGTAAAAGGAATATTTAAAACATTTGGTGAGAAAATGTCTGTAGTGTCCTTAAGCTGATAGGCAAAAAAAATTAATACTTTTTAGATAACTTACTGTATCATATCAAAATAATATAGGCTGTCATGGTCTTGAAAAAAAGCCACACTGAACTGTGGAAATGTTTGACTTGGTTTCTTTTCTAAGATTTGGATTTATTGTAATGTGCAAGTAGAGCTGTGGAGCTGCAAACAGGAAGAGAAGAAAAATCACATGAAAATAGCAATCTAAAGCCACACAAGTTTGACATAGCTCTTGGAAAGAAATAGGCCATGAATCACTGCTGCTACATTTCTGGAACAACCCCAATGACTTCCATTGACTTAATAAGGCCCAACTATGGGATATTTTAAAATGGGTGAAATAAACACAAAACATAGTACATGGAAAAACGTTTCTTATGCATTTGACCTTGCCTGAGGTGGTAGACATAATAACCTCATGAAATCCTGCCTGCCCTCGAGGCTTCAAAACTCTTTGAAGTTGGAAGGTGCTATGTACCTGACCCAGATCAGAAGCAAGGCAATGATGTCTTTTAAAAAAAATACCCAACTTTTTTTCTTTGTTGGTCTTCTTCTTAAAGTAGTGGTGAGATTTCTATTCCTTTTTGAAGAGAAAGCTGAGGGAAGAGTGCTCTGCTCCAAATAGATCTGACATATTGTTTTACTTTGATAACTGCCTTTTCTCTTGATGTAACTTGGGAATGTTGTATGTATTTCACTCTCGTCTTAAGGAAAAAAATTTCTACAAAAGGCTTTATGTATTTCACTCTTGTTGTCTTAAGGAAAAAAATTTCTACAAAAGGCTTGGAATTTTACTGACATAGAGCAGCTATGTAACTCTTATTTGTATGGATGAACACTCAGTATGTGAACACTCCTCTTGAATTCCCTAAGACCAGATATGTAAGGATTGCCCAAGTGTGCCACAGGATTTAATTGAACTTTTATCTGACGTAGCATAGTGTGACCAAATCCTGTGTTTGCAATCTCACGTATTTAAGTAGTTTCAACAGTGATTATTAAAATGCCTGGCTTGTGTTTCCGGTTTATGAGGTAACAATCATGTCTCAGATGACATAAAGACAGAAGCTGAAAGTCAAAGTGTAATAACTGACCTGGGAGGCTTCTGGCCTCTGAACTTACCCAGCCTGTGATATAGTCATCATCACATTAAAGGGAAAGATATGGAAGTCATTGCCTATTATGAGCAGATTACTCAGTTTGTTACACCCCTCACTAGTTTTTCTGTGAGACCTTGAGTAATTGTTTGACAGCTAGACTTGACAAAGCAGTCAGGCACATAAAAGGTGGGACCTGCAAAATTTGACTTCCAAGCCTAGAACAGACTCAGCAACTCAAAGTGAAGCAGTGAGGATTGATTTGATATGTTTGGAGAGTTAGATACACCAGAATGAGAATTGTAGCAGCTGAGCAGGGAACTGCAAAAATAGATAAATCCAGGTAAAAGGTGTGGCTGAGCACAGAAACACCCTTCTTAGATCCTATCTCTGTGTGCCTACTTGGGGCTGCAGGCAGATACCACTATCCACTTGAGATGCACAAAGCAGAGGTCTAGATGCTTGTTTTCAAGGAGCTGAGCAAAGGTTGGTCCTTTAAAATGAACAAGTCTAGTTGTCAATAAGCACTTCCCTGGGATGGGGAACTTCTGCTCAAGTCTGTGCTTCAGTGTTCAAGGGGTGCAAGCCTCACCCTTCCTGGGTTAAGATATATTCTTCCTCTTCTGCTGAAAGAGGACCAATGAAGACAAAACCATTTAGGATTTACTAGGTGGGAAAGCAAGGACCAAGTGTAAATTTAGCAAACATATCAGTAGATTTGGCAGGGATAGAAAAGCCTTGGCTCTTGGTCCTTGTGCCTAGAGGTGCTTCTGTGTTTTACCCAGTTCTATTTAATGCATATAGAAAAGTAGTGCTGGCAGTTCAACTCTGTAGCCTGGGCGTGATGTCTTTTGGTTATTTTTGATTTGAAATGGTAAATTTTAATTTTCATTTCCCCAAAATAAATATATTTTTTTTCCTTCTAAGTGTGTCTGTTCTCCATTGTGGCCATGTTGGGGTAATAGAGCAGGTAGATCTGTGATACGCTCTTTGAGACAGCTGAAATGTCACACAGGTGACAATTCAAATACTTGCAAACTATTTCACCATAAAACTGTGGCCTGTGCCTCATTCTGGACAGGTTGAGATAATGCAGGACAAAAGTGCCTGGATCAGTGACTTCTCTGACCCTCCTGCTGCTGTCTCACCTGACCTTCAACTCTACATCCTCAGGTGCCTTGCAGACCCAAAGGGAACTGCAAGAAGATATGCTGAGGATTGCCCAGGTTGTTTCTTGGAGGCTGTTCTTCATCTCTGCTGCACTTTCAGAGGTGCTGAGGGTTTCATTGGTGAGGACAAGGACCTGCTTCATTACATTGGGTTAGTGTCCAATGCCATGTCACGGTCCCAGTTGCTTAACACTGCATCAAAGCATTGTGAAACACTTCAGGATAAACCTTGTGCTACAAGTGGAACAATAAATTGTCTGGCAAAATGTGTAGCATGTATGAAGGGAGTAGTAGAAGGGTACATTTTATTAGTTAACATCAGTACATCGTTTTAACTTTTACTACTTATGACTAATACAGATACTTCAGATGCAAAGTAGTAGAACATGTGTTTGTGTTAGGACATTGTATTGACTTTACTAGGATATAGTATGTCTATAGAGGAGCTTATGGGTAAGGTTCTGTTCTTACTCATTGGTATAGGTAGAAAGACTGGACAAGTTTTTGGTGACAAAACACCTGTTTCTGTTCTAAAGCAGAATCAGTAGACTTAAAACTAGATACCAGTTTTAAGCAACTGTTGAGAGAAGTGATACCTGTGCGTATATTGGTTTTAAAAGGAAAAATGGTACCTATGAAACAGAAGATGTTATTGTGGGAGAGGAGAGAAAGATGTTGAGTAGTTATCTCCAAGGTGAAATGGGGAAAGTGTTGTTCTATAACATGAGGAATATGAAGACCTACTAGTATGAGCCATGGAAGTTATAATCTATTACAGAATTAATATTTCTGAGCCCAAGGTGTCCGATATCTATTGGAGTTGAGAGTTAATTCCCAAGATCATCTCTGGAAAGAGTTTTGCAGCTTTCTGCTCAGGATAAAGGCTGAAGATCAGAGATGGATCAGAGTTTTCATAATTATCTTGTCACTGTCAGCTGCATTTCTGGTGTTCTAGGCTGTGCACAGGAGCTTGCGCTGGTGCAGGAGCTTTTGCTGGTGCGTGGTGGTTGCTTAGCTCTACTTGCACAGGTGCTGTGGTGGTGTTTGGTGTCCCAGGGACATTCTGTTCTATTGCAGGCAGTGCTGTGTAGGAGGCAAGGACACTTATGTGTGTGCTGTAGGGGTGTTTATTGTGATAATAATGGAGCGGTGTTTAAAAGAAGTGATCTTTATCAAATCAAACTCTCGGTACCTATTCTCAACTCAGATGTGGTCTTGAAATCTGTTGCTCCTATTTCAGAACCCCTGAAAAGGGTTCTCTGCAAAAAGTTTGTATGTTTTTTTCTCTCTTACTGATGGTTTGATAAATGATACTGGCTCATCCTCAACAAACTTATTTAATCTACATCCTTAGAACCTTAGGGTTACAGTACTCTGTGACTATAAACTGTAGTATTAATCTCAATGTAATATTTTTTATGTTTCCTTTTCCTTTTTTCTTTTTCTTCTTTTTTTTTTTTTTCTTCCCTGTTTTGGAATTGTTGTGCAGAGACCAGTATCTCCTTTCAACTTGCTCACTGTAAAAATCCTAAGAGTGAGGAATGTCCGGAAGGCAGATTTATGTGAGTACATCTACTATTTTTGGATGTTTCTTATAATGCCTTAAAGTAAAGAAAATATTTGGTCAATGTCATTGTTCTTAATTTGTGTAAGAATCAAAAGATATGTTACTGCAAGTTTGCAAGAATTATTTTTATTGTGATATTGAAGTGTTGCTTTCTGTTCTTAAGTGTAAAGAGTAAGTCAAGCAAGGTGATGCTTTTGATCTCTTAATTTTCTACCTCACTATATGAGAAGTATTTCCTACCCTTGTGACATCTGACTTAGCTACTAATCAGAGGGCTGCTCTTTAAATGATGAAACTTCTTGTATTTTTATGAGTAAGAAACCGGAGTATTCCCTACAGATTTTCTGAACAGAAAAAAAGGAGAGGACTGGTGATGTAAATGTTTTATCGGTGGTAGTAGGAAAGCCTAAGAAAATAACAGAAGTTATAAGGTAAAATATTCTATAGCTTCTGCAGAATTTATAAATATTCAAGAAGAGATGATAAAAGCCCATGTGCCTAGGAAGTTATTTAATCTAGAGAACAGAGCAATTTAAAAGTTAGTAAAAATTAAACTGAGCACTACTGTAAGAATTCTAAAGGAGTGAGGGATAATGAAGGAGAAAGAGCAAAAGATATCTAGAATAAAGACTACAAGAGAAAAAGGTTATAGCCAGATTACAGAACAAATATTATTAATGAGAAGAGCCCAAGACAGAAGAACTCTCTGCAGTAAGGAAGTCTACAGAGGCTGATGATATCCAACTGTGGAAGCCCTGTAACGATTCATCTTCTCTGCCTCTGCAGGCTAGTGGGCATTGGCTTGTTGAAACAGTGTGGGGCAGTAAATTTAAAATGAAAATGCTCAGTGGGAGAATGAGACTTGCAATAGGTGGAAAGAAGATTTTGTTCCCTGTCCAGATGTGGCACTGACTCACCCAGGTTGGGGACATGTTTAATTCTGAAATTTCCACTTCATTGGGGAGCTTCCTTACAGCTTCTGGTCCGCAGATGTGGGTCCTCAAAAACTCCCCCTCCTGTGTACACTGAAGCTTGTTCAGATGCCTTTCAAACTGCAATTATTCCACTTAGTCGCTTCCAAGGGGAAATTTGAATGGTGATGTATCTATTTAAAGGGGTTGGAAAGACATGAAAGAAAAGGTTGAAATAAAGACAAAGAGAATAAGAAAATTCAGCTCTGAAGACCAGACAAATAAAATTAAAAGGTGTAAAACAAAGAGGAAAAATTACACAATATGTTCCCCAAAATCTTGCAGAACATGGCTTAAAATCAATTTTATTTTGGTACACTCAAAATTTCATGAAGCATCATGAATTATCATAGTTTCTAAGGAAACCAGTGGTAAATTCTAGTCAGTCCGCTAGATATTTCAAAATTTTTAACTATTGTAATGACTCAACAGTAGCGGGAAAACTTATCTGATGTTGAATTTGGTGGTTTCTGGCAAGTGGGATGTGGTTGGAAGATGTGGAAGTCATCATTAACAACAGTATTTTCAAATGAATGATTAATGTGAAGGAACAAATCTCTGCTGCACTTGTGGTATTCTGGGTTACTTAATCCTATGTCTTCCTCAGTGCAATATTGTGGTGTCTATTTATCTTTTTACTTTATTTTCTAGTTTTAAAAAAAAATCTGCTAGGATTTACTGGATGCTTTGCTTACTCCTTATGTCTTAATATTTTTTACTCTAAAAATGACCAAACTGCTTTATGATATTTACTGTGTGATTTTGAAACAGGGTTTTGGCTCATCAAGGTATGAGCACACCTGGTTTAAGATGTAAAGTTCTGAGTTTCTTAAAGACCTATTTATATGTACTGGAGCACACACTTTTGGACTTACAGCTTCATGCACAACTCCTTATTTAACAAAATCCAGATGTCCAAATGCCCAAGTGGTGATTTGCACCAACCAAATATGTGATCTGTCCAGGCAGTCACTGCAATTGCATCCTCAGCAATTCCATGTGTGTTTGTGTGCTCCAGCAGGTCACCTTCTTATGCTTCAATTTCTTGTGGTTGTCCTTGTTAGAAAAACCTTCCTCAGTCACTTCTGACCACAGCAAATCATACAGTCTGTCTTCATGAAGCCTGTTGGCATCTCTGCCATATCATATTGCCTCATTACATTGTATACTGGTCTCAAGAACAGATTAATATAGTATCTTTACACCCTTGAGATGCCCTGAATTCAGAACTTGGGCATCCCAAGGATTTGTTTAAAGTGTACCTGGCAGAAGGATTTGAAAACGTTTCAGCAAGAGTATTTTCTCAGCAAAAAAATTTGTTTCCTAAAGAAATGCAAATTATTGTGGAAAGTCTGGTGTTTTGGGGGTGTGTGTGTGTTTTTTGTTTTTTTTTTTTTTTTTTGTCTGCAGTGGGAAGGATATTTCAGGCAGTTTTTTTACCGTTTCTGAGGCATTAAAAAAGACAAATGTTTCAGTTAGTTTTCCTTGAAACCCCAGTACTTTCAACTATCCCTTTTGTACCTGTTTGTAAAGGTAACAGTATGCTGCTTGTTTCATTTCTGAGGTAGCATTTATTTCCTCCACTTGACCTTGCCTGTTTTTCTCACCTTGGTGGACCAGTGTCAGTGTGCTTTGGTTTTTTAGTTTGGTTGGTTGTTTTTTTCCCCTCCCTGTGTTTTCCCTTTAGTGAAGTGTTTGTGCTTAATTTGTTGAAATTACTCTTCTTGGTCTTTGATTCTCATGTTCCTATTTACTTCACCAGTGATAAATAAATGTTTTCTAAGTATTTCTCCCTACTGTGGTTTCAGAGCATGATAATATTAATAGATTTGAGTAAGGGCCTAGAAATCTAGACTGTTTTGGACCCTGACACTGACTGCATTATGGGATCTTGGACAAGTTATTCAAGTTTGCTCAGTGTACTTATTTGTTTAATCCTCACATTGTCATTCTGAAGTAATTAATCAGTGTGTATTAACCCCTTTGAAAATGGAGGCTATGGCATCAATTACCATTAACCAGTCACATTTTCATCTGCCTACATTTGTGCCTCTGCTTAACATCTGATTGATTGTGGTCTTCTAATTAGGTTTAGCCAAAGCCACTTTCTGGAAACGCTTTTGTTCCCAAAGTCATTATCAGGGTTTTGCTGATTGTGGTAACATGATTAATTACATGACAAAGGCACAACTTGGAAAAAATATGGCTAGTAGAAAAACTTAAATCTGTAGTTGTTACTGAAAGACAAAGAGGAAATACACTAAGGACATTGTCCTTCAATATTATGTAATAACACTCTTAACAGATTTTGGGCATGATGCAGGGATTGACTACGGATTGAATTATTTGATGTATTTTGACTCACAAAGTCATTGTAGGAACCATATGGCTGGCTGAGCATTGTTGAAGTGAAATAAGGAGAATATGTATTGCTTTATGGGTATGAAAGAAAGGCCATTGGTGGCTGTACCAAGCATCTGCAAGTCTCACTCCCTGGTGGTTCTGCCTCCAAACATGGAGAGTCAGAATATGGAAGGAGCTGATATCTTTGATAGCACCCATGGCTTCCTTCCCCAGACCTAAGTGGTGGCAGGATTTTTCCAGGCTGCATGTAGGAAGGAATAGAAATGAATAGTAGTTTAACCATGGTGCTGAAACTGATTTTGTTTTCCAAAAGGTTTGCTGAGAAAGACGTAACTTCTAAAAAATTCTGTCAGCTATATGAATGAATATGAAATTGGCACAGTGATTTGTGATCAGGAAATCAAACTCTTCAGCTTTTTTGGGGAACACTTTGGGTTTTTTTTCAAAAAACATTAATAAATTTTTCTTTATTTAAGCCAGCACTTTGATAAAGGCTTTCAATTAGTTAGGGTATAAAATCTAGGGATGAAATGCTAAAAACTGAGTTGCTCTGCAGCACAAATTAAAGGTTGTGAGGTGTGTTGACTGAGCGACAGAGGAGCCATTCTAGAGCTGAAGTGCCTGTCTGAGGTGGAGGTCATGTGCTGGTAGACATTCTTGTGTTTTGGCAACATTACTCTGCCCCAGTCATTAGGATAGTCATGCATATACAGCTAAATGCAGCATGGGTAGGTGTGTATGTACTGCACCTGGAGTGCAGTGCTATTTCAAATATAAAGTAACATTTAAAAAGTAAAAGTAAGCCTGACTAAAAGTGAAAAGTGGGATTGTCTCAAATGTGTGAGGATGTTTCTGTTTTCCCATGAGTCCTTCATTGTGTGATTTACTCTTGACCCTATATATTTCATGAAGCAGTTTCCTATCATGTTATCTTTGTCTCATTAGGCTTAAATGTGCACAATGCAGTAACTCTTCCCATAGATATGTTATCACTCTGCTCATCTTCTCCTTCCACAGTCACCCTTTCAGACTGTTACGTGACACTGTGGCTGCCCACTGCCTCAACTGAGAAGGTTCGGACCAGAACCATCAGGAACAGCAAGAACCCTGTCTGGAATGAGGCTTTCTGCTATAAGATTGACCGCCGAGTCAAGGTACTGAAAAGAAATGGCTCTCACTGTTTGTTGTCTGCAGGTAGTGCATTATGCAAAACTACAGCAAATCAATAAGTATACAGCTAGTTTCCAAACATGGGAGGTGTTAAAGATTCCTCATAAAACCCCTCTGTTGTTTGCATCCTCCTTGGTATTGTTCTGTCCTAGCTATTTGTTACTTAAGCATCTACTATACTAAAGCAGTAATAAACAATTAAGCACCCTGTGGAGTATGGCCTCACTGTCCTCTTCCTGATCTTGACATACTCAAGAGAAACTCAAGATAAAGATCACAGAAAGATAAGAGTAAGTTCAGTTAGTTCTATGCCTGGTGGAAAGGAAATCCTTTAAAAATTCTTTATGTAGCTGTGCCTGTTTTATACACTTAGAGACAAAGACTGTAAAATAAACATAGAAACGTTTAGTATAGTTCTTTATTACAGACTCATGAATGTTCTGCATGACCTTCTTGTCTTATTTCATTTCCCCAGGCAGACAAGCCTGCTTCTTTGTTTGTAGTACGGTTATCAGTAATGTGAAGTCTAACACTCCCAAATATCTTTCCCTTTTCTGTTTCTCTTTCTCTTAAAACTAGAGACGGAGGGAAGAAAACCTAGTCTTGAGATTTTCTTGCGTTATGGAGCTCTTAGACGTAGAAATAACTCCATTATATTTTTAACTTTTTTTCCAGAATGTGTTGGAGCTAAAGGTCTGTGATGAAGACACAATCACCAGGGACGATGAACTCTGCACAGTTCTCTTTGACATTGATAAACTCACTGTGGGACGTACTGCACGAGTGAAGTTTCAGCTGAATCCACAGGTGGGCAATGGAATTGGTGAGAACAAAAGGAAATTCTTTCCTTCCATCCTTTTACAGTACTTCTGTATGGGAAAGTTCTAATTAAATTGTATTTTCCTGCTATTATAAGAAAGACTTAAGACCCCTGTGTGAGTGCTCTGTCTCAGTTTTTGTTAAGAATAAAGCTCTGTGTTAAAAGTCTGGGATGAAACCAGTTAGAACTAATTACCCAGTGCCTCAATTCTGAATATTTCTTCCATACCTGTTGGGTCTTGGTATAAGTTACGAATTTTCAGCCACTTTAAACTGTAATAATATTAAAGCAACTGATTACTTTCATGTTGGGACTTATAAATCTGAAAAATGGCTGTTTTAGCAGAATAGCAGTTCTTATGTCTGCATGCTTATATGGCATTTGGATAAAAAAAGCTAGTTTTAGCAACTGCTTTTTCAGTATCTTTAATTCAGTGTCTTCCATTGGCACTGTGGGATTTCTTTTCCAAATTTTTCTTATGTTTTGGAAATTTTACTAAGTGCTGTTCTAAATATATATTTTGCAAATTATATGTAGCTGATATGATGGAAGCTATGAAGAAAAATAAGTAATATACTTTTTTCCCCCCTCTCTTCAGACACGTGAGGAGCTGGAGGTGGAGTTCACATTGCAGAACACGTGAGTAGAGTCCTAAATTCTAAATAAACTGTTGTATTCACTATAAAAATGCTCTGGAAACCTGGTTCTTATGTGACAGTACATCTTAAATCTACCATTTGATATGATGTAAGCTATGAAGAAAAATAAGTGATACTTTTTTTTTTTTTTCCCCCCCCTCTCTTCAGACACGTGAGGAGCTGGAGGTGGAGTTCACATTGCAGAACACGTGAGTAGAGTCCTAAATTCTAAATAAACTGTTGTATTCACTATAAAAATGCTCTGGAAACCTGGTTCTTATGTGACAGTACATCTTAAATCTACCATTTCTAAAAGCAGCACCTAGATGTTTTCATTCAACTGTAGTAAACTAGAATTTCAGAACACACTTTTAGATTTTAAATATCTGAAAATGTCATTTTTACCCTCTTGGACTGCTGCTTCCTGGGCAACAACTGCCTCTTGTTCTCCTTCTGTCATTGAATTAATACACAAGGAAATAGGAGGACAATGACAATATCCAGGAAGTTTTGGCCCTTAAAGGAGGAGTGCCATGCCTAAATGTCTTATGTCCCACCTTCTTAAATCCGCAGCATTATTAAATGCTCTCCTGTAAGCGGATCTGTTCAGTTCATTTGGCTACATGTAGGATGGTGTGGTAGGCTTGAGCATCAGCTTCAGCAGGGAGGGGAAATAAGTGTTCTCTGTGAAGTAAGGAGCAAAGATCACTGTGGGAGGCTGAGCACTGAGTAACCAGGAAAACTGGAGGAGCAGCAACAGCTTCCCTTAGTAAGCTTGAAAGCTGTTGGTGGAGTTTGACTGTTTAGAGGATGTGCTTGCTTCAGATAAGTCAAGCTGTGGAGAAATCTGGGAGCTTGTCTCTCTAACTGGAGAGGAAGTCCTGGGACAGGATCATGGGTTTTCTAGTCTGTCTCCATGATATGCTTTAAGACTCTGAGGAATTTGCAGAAAGGATTTTTGTTACCAGTTTGATCAACATTATTGAACTGAAAGTGTTAAAAAAACCCCAAACCCCTTAGAGAAGGGATGGTATTGCTGGGACCTTCTCAAGGCATTCAGGGCACTTCAAGAGGCCTAGAAGGATAATATGTTGTTGGAGGCCTTTAGACATGAAAACATGTCTATTTCTGACAGAAGGGGAAATTGAGACTTGCTGGAGGAAGGGCAGTAGCTCAGTGTTATCAATGGTGAAGGAAGAAAGTCCCAGTGTTCACAAGCAAAAAGCCATCGGAGATAAATCGGTCTCAATCTCCTATCACAACTCACAGAGATTCTTCAGGGTGGATTTTTGTTGTTTACTGTGCATGAAAACTGGCAGAAGATCCAGCAATGGCAAGACAAATAGTGTCTATCACACCTTAGGAGTTTCATGACATCAGTAATTGTAATGAGGAAGGAAGCTCCAATACATGGCCCAGATGGCCTCTCTCTAGGGTCTCCTATCCTCTGCAAGTTAGAGGATCGCTTAGGTAATTGATACACAGAATCATGATCTTGATAATCTTGTCTTTGATGATGGAGGTCCAGGTAGGTTGTCTGGCTTAGATGTTGTGCACGCATGGGTTTGCATATGGGGATGGAGGCTGGAATTCATCTTGGAGTGCATGCTCTCTGGCTCTGTGTCAAACTCTTCTCTCAGACCTTTTGTCCAATTGCCTTTTCCAGGAGATCTGTTCAGTAGATAGCCAGAAATTTAGCAGTTTCTGCAGGTGCTGTCCGAGTAGGAATTCCCCTGTTTGAATGATGATGGTTTGGACTGTAGAAATAAAAAGGACTTTTGGCAACCCCAAGGAAGAGGCTTTAAAAAGAATCATAATCATGGCTCAATTGCTATAGGAAGATCACATTTGATCCACTTTTTCCATTTGTAGTGTGGTACCTGGGTGATGAATGTAATAGCTATGGCCTAAAGAACTCCACACACGAGGAAGAAATGGTTACATCATAAGTCAGGGAATATCCCTGTGAGATCCCAGCAGGGCTAAGGAAAGGGAAGGCATTTCTCTGGGAAACTGGTCATCTTGTCATAAGGCAGATAAACATTTCCCATGCTATCTCTTATTTGCGTTTCTTCCATATGTATGGCAGTCAGTGGTGTTCTGCCCATCATTTGAGTCTGGAATAAAGGTGTAAACACATCTGAACTGATTAAATAGTGTGATCTTGGTAGGTTATCAAGAGGGAAATTTTTCCCCCTCAACATAGAAAAGTGTGATGTCGGGAGTAACTAATGAAAGAGCTTGTACACTAAAATTGGAGATGATAGTTCACACTATCTGTGATAAAGAGCCCTGATAAGGTCTGAAAGGCTGAGATGGGTCACCACAAAGCTATGGACCAAACCATCCTCTCCTGTGCTGAACAAGCTCAGCAGGTTTTGGCAAGGGGTTTTGACATTGCTGGGTGGGAGAAGTGCTGATAGAGATCAGAGATAATTTTCGGAACTGGAGAGCCAAC